TTTTTTTTTTTTTTTTTTCATCTCCATTTGTTTTTTCTTAATCTTAAAAATACGAGACAATTGAAGAAAAGTATAAAGTAAACATAAATTATACAAGGTAACACTTCGTACTATTATTCGGGATGATTTTTTCGAAGATTGTTTGATGCTCTTCATCGAAGAGGAGTTTACTAAATAGTATAAGTATAAATTCTATTATTGATGAATTTGATCCTCTAAAAAGCTCGTCGAGCACAATATAAGTGAACATTTAAAGAAAAATATTATGTGGTTTTTATAAAAGTGAGTTTTAAATGTTAGCCCAGTCTACTCTTAATTTCTAGATCCGTCCCTGACAATAAGTAAACTTACCATATTCTATGAATATTTAAATAACATTAATATAATTTTATTAATATGGTATGTCTACTTGTTATATATAGAAGGTTGGCTTCACTGTAGAGCTAATTGTTGGCTTTATAATAAAACCGTTTAAGTCGCTCATACTCTTTGATATTGGCAGTCAAGTATGGAGTCAACCAAATCACTTAAACCCTACAAAAGTTGGTCTACAAAATTTGAAGGATTTTATATCATTTTACGCGGTTATTGTGACTTCATTTTTATGTCATTATTCATACTGAATTATAATTACTGGTTTAATTATAGTCAAAAGTTCCAATATATACTTAGTTTTAGGGAGAAAAAAAAAAAAAGGTTCTTTATTGGATAATGCCAATAACTATTAATAGATTAGATTATTTTACTATGTTTTTCCTTATTTCTCCTTAAGGTGTAATGTTAGAGTTAAAAGTGTGTTTTACACTTCAGCAACTTTAGCTTTATTCCTTTTGTATAAATAGTTGTATTTAGGGTTTGTTGAAACACTTTTTCACTATTGAGTAATACAATTTTCAGATCTCGTTTTTCTTCTTCCACATTCTCTATAATGGCTGCTATCCAATCTCTCTGAATATTCATGAATTTTTACATTAATTCTTCCAATATGGTATCAGTCGCTTCGTTTTGATCCTGTTCTCTACATTTCCGCTGCTCGATTCATTTTTTTTTCGTACGATTTGGTTTTGAAACCCTAGATCTGGTCGCTGTGACTTTTGATCTTCGTCTTCAAACCCTAGATCGCGACTTATTGATCTATTCTCGATGGCAAATCGCACGAGTGTTTCGATTCCAACCGATGATCCCTCATCTCCATACTACCTACATCCAAGCGATAATCCTGGCGCCTTGATCGTTGCTGAAGCTTTCACCGGCGACAACTATGTCTCCTGGTCAAGGTCTGTTGCCATGGCGCTTAGTGTTAAGAATAAGGTTGGATTCGTCGATGGTACAATCTCTGTCCCTTCCTCTCTTGACACCTCTGTTGAATCTATTGCATGGATAAGGGCTAATAATCTCGTGTTGTCCTGGATTTTAAACTCCATTTCAAAAGACATCCGTTAATCCTTGTTGTTCTTTACTAATGCCAGAGATGTTTGGGAAGAAATTAAATCTAGATATGCTTTGAGTAGTGGTCCACGCGTTTTCCAGCTTGAAAAATCACTTAGTACTATGGACCAAGGCTCTCTCTCTATTACTAAATATTATAATTCCTTCAAAACCCTATGGGATGAGTACAATGCTTATAGACCTGTAATTCGTTGTTCTTGTGGTGCCTGTAACTCCTGTACATGCAACATCTTTGATGCTATGTCTACTGCACAACAGAATGATTCTGTCATGAAATTTCTCATAGGCCTGAATGAATCATACTCATCATTGAGAAGTCATTTCTTACTTACTTCACCCTTACC